CTTTTCAAAATAACGCACATCCAATGCCTCCTAATCGAAGCGGAACTGAAACGTCACGATTTGGCCGTGGAGCAACTGCAGGCCGGGCAAGGTGAGTACGCAAAAAACGCATGGAAAGAATCGATTTCATCAACGCCAAACTCCAACATGAAAAACATGCCGTTCGAACGTTCAAGGACGTCGACGACGCCATGCGACAATACTACCTACTCACTGGCAAACGACTCGACCCCCTCTGCCGCGAACCCATCCTCTCTCAGTATTACACCCCCTTCCAAGTCACACAAAGACCGGAAGCTGATTTTTGTGGCCTTAGGATTAGCCGCCACCGTAATGATTGCCAAGCAATTAGACTAAAATGTATCTAAGTGCATAAAGCGAAGATAAGACCTGCTCCATATACGTGCTTCTGGGAAAAGCCGAGACTCACTTGGACCAAAATGCTGGACCTAGGGGTACTGCAGCATACACATTTTATGAGCGCTTCAGTTCAAAAGAGAGAAGGCTGATGGAGTTATCTCCCTTTGAAAAAAATCAACCTATAAGACTTTTGACTTTGCATGTGGATATAGCAAACCTATTAGACATTAGCTTTGCATGTGGATATAGCAATCATGACTACCGTCAGCGAACTCAAAGCTCTCGCTAATAGTCGTGGATTGGTGGGTTATTCTCGCATGAGGAAACCCCAAGTGCTCACCTTGCTCAACATGAAATATGTCAAGCCCCATACCGTGCGAGACCTCAAACTCCGAGGTTAAGGACGGGGATTGAAGGGTTATTCTCACATGAGGAAAGCCCAACTGCTCACCTTGTTGGAAGACACCGAACCGGTCGAGTTGAGATTCGTGCCGACAGACCATGCCGTAGGTAAGCATCTGAGAGGCTGGAAAATGATCATCCAGTCTAACATCGACGTCAACAGCGTCAAACCCCTGATCGTTGACAAAGTCGAAGAAAAGTTGGATGATTTAAAACGTATCAAATACCAGTTAACCATCCACATATCGCTCAACAAACAGCAGACGGATGGCAGTACCGAGTCAATCGAGCCTTATTTCAGAGGCAAGCAGGAAGTTGTACTTCAATCCGACTCGATCCCTTCGACCCTCGATACCTCGCTACCAAAAATACAAGAATTGCTGGAATGATGGACGCACAGGGGCTCCGGGTGGGTGGTGGGAAGTGTCAACCCCATCTATTTGGACGTAGCAAACTACGTACCGTTCAAAGGCAGATCGTACCTAGACTTGCCAACTTACTACAGAAATAAAAAAGCCATTAATAACATTAAAAATAAAGACGATGCTTGTGCAATATATTCGGTGAGAGCTGGCTTATTTCCTACTGGACCCGGTTTGAAAAACTAAACCATTTAGCCATCAACGTCTTCGGCCACGAAGGCAATACGACCATCGTACACCGAATCAGCTCCATGCCCGATGATGTGCGCAAAATCAATTTATTTATGACCGAAAATGAGGGTAAGTATCACTATACACATATTGAACGTCTGAGCAGACTGTTGTATGATCAATCGACGCACAGAGAAAAGAAACATTTCTGCGAACGGTGTCTGCACAGCTTCCTGCTGGAAGCGCATCAGGAGGATTGCCGAGGCATGGGAAAGACGGTGATCCTAATCGACATGCCTCAAGAACATGAAAACATCTTAAAATTCATCAACCACAAAACATCAAATGCCCGTGCCTTACGTCATATATGCCGACTTTAAAGCGCGCTCATCAAACGGGTTGACCACATTGCCCCATCCCGGGAAAAAAGTTTTACGTACAAAACGCAAGAACACCAAGCCTGCGGGTTCGGGGACGTGGTCATTCGATGCGACGGTGAAACAGAGACTCCCGTGATCTACCGAGGTCCCGACGTGGACGAAACGTTTCTCACGTTCTTACAACGCGAAGAGCAAAACATCAGGGAAGCGTTGTCGGATCCTGCTCCCATGAATATGACGCCGGAGGAAGAACTCACTCACAATCGTGCTAAGTGTTGCCACGTGTGAGACCCACCCCTGAACGAGGATGTCGGGGGTGTCATTGTCTCATCACCAGCCGGTACCGAGGTGCCGCGTGCAACTTAAAACTTAGAATCGATCCCCACAAAATCAACATCCCCGTGGTCTTCCATAATTTGAGAGGGTACGATGCTCACTTGATCATACAGGCCATCTCGAACATCGATGGCGATGAAGTGCATTCCGAAAAACAAGGAGAAATACATTTCGTTCTCGCTTAACGGTCTGCGATTTATCGATAGCGCTCAGTTCCTCCTGTCATCGCTCGATAGTTTGGTCAAGGCCAACGAAACCTTTGCCATCACCCATCGATACACCGATGAGGCGACTCGACCTCTGCTGCTCAAAAACGGCGTGTACCCATACGAGTACATGGACGATTGGCCTAAGTTCGACGAGACCCAACTACCTCCCATCGACCAATTTTACAGCAACTTGACCGAATCCCATATCTCCCAGGACGATTACCACCACGCTCAGAACGTGTGGAACAAACTGAGTTGAGAGACTCTGGGCGACTACCACGACCTGTACTTGAAAACGGACGTGCTTCTGCTTGCCGATGTGTTCGAGACATTCAGAACGACGTGTTTAAAACAGTATCAACTCGACCTTACCTGGTACTACACCAGCCCTGGTCTCTCTTGGGATGAGCTCTTGAAGAAAACCAGAGTCAAACTGGAATTGCTCACGGATTACGACATGCACCTGTTCATAGAGAAAGGCATGCGCGATGGGATTTCTATGGTCTCCAAACCGTACGCGAAAGCCAACAACCCATACGTGGAAGGCTACGACAGAACAAGCCCAGCGATCACCTCCTGTATCTCGACGCCAACAACCTGTACGGCTGGGCCATGAGCCAGTCTCTACCTACGGGTGGGTTCGAATGTTTGGACGATGAGATCGATATTAGGAGCATCATGCCGGATTCGAACAAAGGCTACATCCTCGAAGTGGATCTGGAGTATCCAGCGGCATTGCACACTGCTCACAACAGCTATCCGCTGGCTCCCGAACGAGTGACGGTAAACCGAGACTGGATGTGGGACTATCAACTAACGTTGCTCGGGAAAAATAAACTGGCCAAAATGGAAAAACTCGTTCCAAACTTGATGCACAAGACCAAGTACGTTGTGCACTATCGGAATCTGCAACCGTACCTGTCGCTGGGCCTGAAGCTGACCAAATACATTGGGTGCTGCAATTCGATCAAAGTCCCTGGATGGAACCTTACACTAGGTTGAACACCGAGCTGGGAAAACAGGCCACCAGCGACTTCGAGAAAAACCTCTACAAACTGATGAGCAATTCGGTAATCGGCAAGACCATGGAAAACTTGAGAAAACAGGTGACAGTCAAACTCGTGCGATCTCACGAGGCAAGAACACAGTAGACGTTTGGAAGACGTTATAATAGCCTGACGACACGAGCTAAAATCGGCAAATGTGATGAACTTGGTATAGTTGGTATATACATGATTATGTATATATTTTCCAGCTGTTGATGACACAGATTTATTAGCCTAAGCCACGAAAGTGAAAATACTGTTTTTGGAGTGATTGTTGATATATTTATGTGATGGTAATATGGCGGTTGCTTCTGCTGTGATAATTGAGCTGTCATCGGGTAATCTATAAGATATTGTTCTTGACCCAATGATAGTGACACTATTAACAGCGCCACATTCCTTGGGTCCATCTATGAAGATACATGTGTAAGTGTTTCTTAATCCATTATATGGTTGTTGTTGTTGGTTGTTTTCAGATTTCTCTAGTTTAGTTGATGTTAGGTCCACCTTTGGCCTCACTAACCATCATTGTGGTTGAGGGTAAATCTTAGTTGGGTCTATATTTTCAAGAACTATTGTAAATGAAATATCATATTGTAATCTTATTCCAAGATGTGGGATAAGTGATCATTTTTCATTATAGGTCCATATAAAGTGGATGAAAACACTGTCACATGCAGGATAAAAGTTAGTAGAACGTAATTTAGGAATAGACTGTAAAGATAATTTAAGATGGCGCCGTTTGAGGGACAGCTCAACAGCCTCCACATAGGTACTAGGAATTGGTGTTGTTCTGAAGGTTCTAAAGCAAAACCTTAGGCTTTGGTGATGAACAGAATCAAATAATTTGCTTTCACAAGCCCCTTCATAGATGATGGAACTGTAATCAAGGTTAGAATGGACCAGGGCTCTGTAAGGCTGGAGGAGGGTGCTCTGATCCCTCCCCACGTCTAGTTTGAAAAATATTTTAATATAATAAGTGCCCTCTTGCATATATTCTTCAAATAATTGAAATCTGGCCGGAAGGTCAAATGTTCATCGTAAATATTAGCAAGCACTTAGCTTCACCAACACCGTTAATAGGTGTATCATCTACAAATAAATCTGGGTCCTTGTGATGTTTATTTTTCCCGCAAATATGAATGCAATTTTATTTTAAATTTTTAAAATTTGATTCCTTTTTTGTATCAGTTTTTTAAACACAACTGCAGTTGCCCTTCAATAGTATGCATGTTTTGGCCACAACAGAAAAAATGAAAATAATCCACAAATAGCGATCCAGCAATTAAGACGTTTTGAAACTTTTGATAAACTATTAATGTTTGTATTAAGTAATGTGACAGACAAAATACTGCCTTATGGGACACCCATTCATATTTGCGGATTATGATTGTAATGCTCAGACAAGGTAGAATCACCTACGCTGACATGAAATTGCGTCATTTAAATAGGTGAAAATAAGTTGAATGATCGGCCTCCCATTCCAAAATCTTCATGTTGTTTAATTGTTATATCCTTTTAGACAAATTAGTGTCGTTTATGTTCTTTTTATACGGTATTTCTTTTGATCATGGAAAACAAGATAATTGCTAAATATATATGTTTTTTAAGATAATATGTTTCAAATTAGATCAATGTGTTTTCTTGCATTCTGACACTTTGATTTCCATACAGATATTCAACCACCACAAATCAAGAATTGTCCTTCAACAACAATCCTGAAAACAGCTGACCCAGACGCTTCAACTACTTATGTTCAGTGGCCAGTTATTACTGTGTCTGACAACTCAAAAGAACCTATTCCTCTGCGCAGTCCTTCTGCTTTACCAAGTGGTGGAACATTTCCTGTTGGCACACATATTGTTAGTTTCACAGCATCAGATCCATCTGGCAACAAGGCTGAACCATGTTTCTTCCTTTTGAAAGTGCAATGTAAGTACCTGTTATTACAAAACAGGGGTTTCACGTGCTCTTGTCAAAACAGGGATTGACATGCAGCTGCTTCCTGGTTTGCTGTTATGCATATCATGCTGTTTGCTTAAATTGAAATCATCATCGATCTTCCTGTGAGGCGCTTGAGGGTAAATAGTCACATGACTTAACCCAAGTACCCGTGTCTCCCTGATAAAAAACTTTGAAATTCACATAATTTACAAGTACTCAAGTACCTGTTAGAGCTACATCTATCTATTACATTTATCGCTTCTTTGAGTGGCATGTAGAAGTTGGTATGATGAAGGGGAACAATTCTTTGTGGATAGAGAACTTCTCTATTGCAAGAGATGCGACATTTCGGTGTAGATGCGAGCGCCGTTATCATGCAAAGTGAGTATGCACAAGGAAAATACATACATGAAGGACTGAATTTATACAATTAACGAGGTTGATGTACAGTGTGATGACATTACTAAAGTTGTTGTGATTGTACATAATGGCTATGAAGCCAGATGGGCAAAGGGGGTGCTTAATCTTGATTGGCCTTGAATAGATAATGGCGAACCGTAGGGATGTAATAACCTTGATGTCTGTTGATTGTCGGGTAGAGTCGTTTGCTATTTGATAGCCTCTTACAGCTTTCTGATCTCGTGTATTTGCGGATATCCAAAGGAGCACGAGTTTTCACGTTTTATTTTTAAAAAAAAACGTGTCGTGGACGTGTATCAGTTTCAGCGTAAAGAACTGTTGTGTTTGGACTCTGGGTTTTGCATTGGTTTGATTTGTACTTGTATTTTCTTGTATTTCTTTTGGCCGCCAGTTCATGTTTGCGTTTAACAGTAATAGCATAGGGAGATGTGCACTTATGAACCACCGCCTCATTAGACATATAGCAGCAACTGAATGACTGAGCGGCATGTTACGAGCCAATGTTCCTGCAAAATGTCCCATAACTATGTTTTTCCCCGGTATTGTGATTACTCAGACACGAAAGATGGCTTAAGAGGTTTTCTCAGTATATATTTACATCCAAGAACATTGTTTTGGACCATTAAAATTGCCTATTGCCTAAATGTAATTGTTTGAATGGGACTTTCTTTTATTCTAAGTTTTTGGTTCCATGTGAAAAAGACGGAACAGTTCACGGAAATTTGAAGACAATTCTGTAAAATTGAATGTTTAATGTGTTTGCTTGTGTTTGATCCTCCGTCATTGCTTCCGCCAGAGTGGTTTTTTCGCTCAACCACAAGGATACACCACATGTAAGAGATTTAATACTTACTGTACCTCGCAATGACCGTCCACTACATGTTCTGTACTATGTTTTGGGAGCTTTTGGGAAAAATATTTCTCTTTTTCCATGTAGTTGAAACATCTTTATAGAATAAATGTTTTAATCCCTTTAAAAGTAGAAACCGAGGGGATTCGTACGAATCCATTTCATCTGTACCCCTTTTGTGCCATTTTTAACATTTTTTCTTTGATCCCTCTAAAAGCAATTTAAAAGCTCAACTTATTATTCTTTTTTACTTATGAAGCACGTTACACTATCCTGGTGTTAGAATTGTAGGAACTGATTAAAAACAACCATTGGTGCGTGTTTTGGAGTACACAAGAACTGACACCGTACTTTATAAACATGTTGTAAGAAATGTCATTGACGCTAATACTGTTAGATCAACTTTTCATTTGTAGCTGTGACATGCGATCCACCACGCTTTGATGACAAGTACCTGGATACGCCGGGTTGTCTGAACTTTCGTGAGGGTGCTTCATGTAAACTGGAATGTGAACTTGCCATAACACTGGTAGGAGAGAAATACATCACTTGCAAGAAAGAGACGAACGGAGAGGACGGACACTGGGTGTATGGCTCGTATGACGCCCCGAATCTCGAAAAGTCGTATTGCAAAGGTAAGTCTTATCCGTTGGTAATATATACTCATAAAAGTGTATTCCCCCATTGGACTCAGAATTGGTCAAAACATGATGATTTTTTATGCTAAACTAGTTCAGTGTTTAGCTTACCAGACTGAAAGTCATGTGTGTTATTGTCATGTACTTTTGGTCTTAAAGCTTAGGTTTCACATGCTAATAATATAGGTTTTTCCAGATTTTACTTTTTAACCTGTATTTCCCCCCATGTTCTAAATCCATTCAGATGGCTATGAAAGCGTCATCATTATGGAAACCACTGTTCAAACAAATCTGAAACTGGGCATATTCATCCCACCATTCTACCATGGCTATGTAAAATGCTCGAATTTGATTGGTCAATCAATAAAATCAGACGGTATCCATTTTAGATTGACAATGCGTCTGATTTCACTGCACTTCACTGCGCACGTATACATCACTGCTGCACTTCTTCAGCTTGGCCAACATGACTAATATCAACACAACAGACGTGATGGAAATGCTGATAAAACATTTATTAAAACTCGAAAAATACAATTATACGATTTCTCCTCCACAATTATTAGGGAACATCACTATCATAATTATTACCTTCTATTATAAAAATATTCCAACTCAATTACAATACACAGCCCCAAACATAAACAAACAATATGTAACATATAAATCAGAAAACCTTGTAAAAAACACATCCCTGTCTATCCCTAGTTGTGCAGCAAAACGTTCGTAAACATTTACCTACCTGGTAAATGGTATATTTGTTTCCGTTTAGAATGGGAAATTCGCAAGATAACGGTCAAGCGAAACACCACATTCATGCCACTTATACTCCATCATGTCCCGTTGCATCGTTCAAAATGTCAAGAATTAAACCACGAGAATTTCTCTCTCTGCCATCTTCCCTGCAAGGCTGTCACTGCTATGTTCGTACACTTTGAAAAAAGCTTGGCCACAATCCAGTCCCAAATGATGAGAACAATGTTCCAAGGAATCCCAAGTTAGTCGCATGTACACAAAGCAGCACTGTCACTCTTTTGTCGCATGCCGGGGTGGAGGCACGTACGTCAAATCATGATCGACACTCGCCGGTCATAAAAGTCAACAGTCTTTGATGAGTTACAGGTCGTAGGTCGATCAGAAAAAGGATCTATTCTTCGATTGTGCAGGGTTCAGATTCGACAGTCAGTCAAGTATTTTCCACTGTCGCTTCAAATTTCAACCTTTCGCAAAATGTAAACACTGGCTCCTCCGCCATTTCAAACTGTTGTGTAACTGTCTACTTCCAAGAAAATAAGTAGGTCAGACAATTCCATTATAGTGTGGCCAGGGGGGTACAGTAACCCGGCACACAAAACAATAGGCTGGTTTCGGTCGTGTTGAGTTATGATTATAAAAAACAAGCTCTTAGGTGTTACATTATTGCATTGAATAAACAGTAGTTTGTTTTCTTTTGGACAGAATATTTTTTATGTTGCAATCTTTAAAAAAATACGAACGGCACCTACCACTTCCTTCACAGACGAGTTCAATTCGTCTCTCGTCACATGCCGGAGTACGCAGTGTCTTCCGCAGGACGAGGAAGTTCGATTTTAAATCAGTTATGGTAGAATAGAGATAAACTTACTGTGTTTGGAAATAAGATGACTGTTAGACCGAATTGATAGTCTCTCAATTTCAGTTGAAGCCGAATGCGTAGCTACGGGTCTAACAGTCATCTAATTTCCAAACACAGTACGTTTATATCCGAAATGATACCTCCAAATTCATTTCCTCAAAGCACCCATCTTGTAGCTTGTAAGGTGATCTCCTCCGCATGTTGTATTCTGTCTTTTCAATGATTATTGTACGCACCATGTTAACACATTCACAATACTATTTATAGAATAATTCTAAATACCGTGGTGCCTATCCTCCAAAGTGTCCCAGCTAAGACAGATCCTAACTAGTTAGAACAGGAGTTAGGACATCCTACCGTTAGGATAAGACCACTTCTCGAAACTGTCCTATCCCTGTCCTAGGACCGAGCTGGGATAGTGAGCTCTTCAGTAGGTGAGATAGGAAAACCTTCATTAAGCTGGGGATTCACCTAAATATTACCCATGATTCACTGCATGAAAAACACACATATAAGGGCAACTACAATCTCGTTTATAAGGTAAATTGAAAGACTAGTAAAAAGCTTGAAAGCGCTGAAATACAGCTTTTGATGGACTTATTAGATCTAATTAATATTCATATCTTGTATCAAGAAAAACAGAGTGAACTTATATGTAAATATACTCGATATTTTTATCACATGAAATTCATTTCTTCAACAAGCAGATAACATTTTTCTTCAGAGTTTGAAAGTCTGCTAAAAAATCAATAAGATATGAACAAAAATATTTTCACTTTAATTGTTTTTTTTAATGAAAATCATGACTTGAACTCCCATTATGCGTCATCTCACAAAGTGAAAATTCACCTAGGAAATAAACAGGAGTTACATCCCTTATCGAGTTGGCCTTGACATTGACATTTCACAGCAGTGTGACAGAAAAGAGCAATGTTGTGAAAAAAAGGGGGACTGGGCATGCGCCGGGTGTGAGTGGACGTGCTCACTTCAGCTGACTTGAAAACTTGGACTACTTAGCCATGTAAGTTGCGCTATACACTTGATAACTGAATCATAACGGGGTGTATATTCCCATATTACTCCTGAGTGTAAATCGTGAAGAGATGATGGACACTGAGACTTGGAAAGGGAGATGTGGACGACATGTCACCCGTCGCGGTTGGAGACAGATAGACAAGATGGCGACTAAATACGACCCAGAGTCTACATGGAGTACATCAACAGAACTAAACTTTAGAATGGTAAGCTTACTACTAGTGTCTTTTGTTATCCATTCATCACACCATATTCTCGGAGTGCAGTTTTGGAATTGCACGAGGACATGGCAGTCACGATGTAACATGGTCAGACATGGTGTCAGCTTCTAACGCCGTTACATCCCCTCACTCTGACTTACTCGTGCAGGTTTTGCCACCTCATATTATCCGGAGCAAACCACTGTTATGTTGTGGTGATGTTGAATCCAATCCCGGACCAGAGGACAACGTATCCCTCCAAAATTCGAAGTAAAAAATCATATGCGTTCTCACTCGGGAAATCCAACTAGTCAAGCTTGAAGTACAACAAAGAGTCAGCTTAAGTGTGAAGTAATCAATGTCCAGGAAAACCTCAAGTCAGTGTCTGCAGTCATTAATGAACTGAAAGAGGGATGATGTAGAACTAAATGACAGTTAACATATTTCTACGCTTAGACTTAGACGCTTTGGACGAACAACTGCAGGATCAGCACTCTATGTATTCATCAGTTCGAGGAGCTTGACAAACAAGTAGAGAGATTATAGATCTACAGCCGCAGAGATAGTGTTATCCTCTTTGAAATTCCAGAGGATGGACGAGGGGAATCATATAGCGAGAGTATATCAAAGGTGGTTCAGTTGTTCAACTCTGTGTGTGGCGATGGAGATAACTCTTTACAAGCAGTTGACATAAAAAGATCTCACAGATTAGGTGGTGACGACAGTTCCAAACCCAGACCTATCATTGTTTCATTCTGGGACATGGAGACAAACGAGAGGACTTAAGATCAAGTAACATTGGTATTGGAAGTGATCTCACTCCGAACCAGAGAGAAGTTCTCCATTACCTATCAGCGAACAGTAAAGGAGGCTATTACTAGAATGGAAAACTCATAATCGTCTATGAACATTCCACACATGCACCTCGACAACGTGGAGAAAAGGATAACGGTAGACAAATTGTTCGTTTTAATAGGAACGGTCCCAGGCCTAGGAGGCCATAGGAACGCGGGCGGGCTCGTCCAAATGCACCCCTGATCTCTACGGCCACTTGACAACATGTTTGTATCTCCACATGGAATATTTCTGGTATAAAGAATAAAGAAAACGATATATGTTTTCTTGACTCTGTTAAGAATTTGGATATTTTTCATCTGTCAGAAACATGGACTAGTGACGATTATTTTGAGCTTTTCCCAAATCACAAGTGTTTTGCTGTTCCAGGAACAAGGATATCACCCACCGGAAGGATGTCAGGTGAAATTACGGTATTCATTAGAATCTGACTTGTTAGGTTTGTAAAGAATATTCATAAAAGCACTAACTGCATATTTCTGTTATTTGATTAATCTTTGTTTCCATTTGGAAAAGATGTACTGCTCACCTTTGTATACATCCTACCGGAAGGCTCTAATTGGTACAAAGATAAGACTTGTAAAAACGGCATATTGTTACTGTTGGATATTTACAGTGATTTTACGTCAACCTTATCAGATTATGAAAGTGTCATATGTGGGGACTTTAATTGAAGAACCAGCAAATTAGATGACTACATTGATGATAACTATAAATATATTGCACCTGATTTTGAAGAAGTGAATGATTACATATCTGATCATTTTAAGCAACGACGATTCTCTTGTGACAACGGTGTAAATGCATTTGGCAAATACCTGATTGATCTATGTAGACTCTATAACTTGCACATATTCAATGGCCGCTGTGGAAGCGATAAAGGTGTTGGTGATTTTACTTTTATTCGTAATAATGGTTGCAGCGTTATTGATTATGACAAATACTATCTTTTGACATTCAGTCAAAACCTGATTCTGAACACCTGCCAATTATATTCTCATTTACGACCAACTCAGTTTCGGGTAATATTGCTGATAACTGTCACTGTTACTACTGATTTAAGCTTCACCAAGCACACGTGGAAGCTTGATTTCGAACATATCTATGTGTAAATGCTCAAAAACTCATCTGACGCTTTAAATGATGCAACATATATCTCTTTATTTGATGTTGAACAAGGGGTTAACATGTTGAGGTCAGCTGATTGTATGAAGCGAGTTGTTACATCAAGCAGTAAGGCACATAATTCGTTTAACAATGCATGTCAATCTTTTAAACAGCAGCGCTGTCAT